GGGGGGATTAAATTGGCAATCACAGCCTCATCATAAATCAACAAGCTACAATATTATATATAGATTCTAAAATTAATGTTGTGGGCAACACTAAAAAAACAACAACAACACATGCACACGGTTTTTTGAGTTTGAATTTGACTTGCTTGAGGGGAAGACCAGCCAAAAGAGTGCTCAGACTCAGGCATTTCAGATTTCAGACAGGGGACCAGGCCAGGGGACAGACTTGTAAAAGGATGGACGCTTGTCTTTAAACATGCCCAGCATCGAATTGTGATTGCACAATGATAATCTGGTGAAAAACTCTGAATTATGATGTCACAAATTAATAAGAGTCTAGATCTACACTGCATTAGTATTAGGCCTAGGCCAACACTGTCTGACCGAAATGAGTGACCGCGACAATTATAGCAGAGAGTTAGAGTGAGTCAGTGAGCGATGCAGATCGCTTTCTTTCTCTCCAGTATAGATACAGAGCTATCAGTACACAAAATCAAGGTAACTACGATCATCTTTAACATGACCTCAAAATGCAAATAATGGGTTTAATTCAAAATGCTAGTCTACACACCAATAAGCTGTCCAACTTGTGTGGAAAGTGGGTTTCCGTGGCCAAACAGGGCAGCCATCTTGTTAGTTTACTTCTGAACAATATAGGTCAGGTCATATTACGTCAATTCTACTTCCGTCTGTGAAAAGGCCTACTTGGCTATATATACGTAACAGTATAAAAATGTCCCTTGAATCATAAAAAGCCGGACAACGGCTGTGCGTTCCCGGCATAATACAATGTCATGTCGTCCCATTGAGTTATTTCCTTTTAAAAAAAAGAAAAGACACCCCTATAGTGTACATTGTACATCTATGTGTCGTCTTGATATGGACCTCAGAATAGGACCTTAGTCTTAATTCTATTTATAACGTCCTTGAGGCTTACATTGGTACTACATCATGTACACATATTATGTAAATTGATAAGGCTATACTATCCTGAAGTTTGAGGTTCATAATGCTGGCTCAGAATTGTTCTTGCTTTGCTTGAAATGATTCATTTATGAAGAGACCCACCTTCGAAATGGCATTTATTGTTGAAGCTGATTAAGCCTTGTTTTGATTTGTTTTCAAAAGGTGAAGCTTAACTTTAGAATCTTCCAAGCAAAAAAAAAAGAATAATAAAAGAAAACCTTAAGTCATGTGATTCAGATTATATTTAGAAGGAGAGCTTTGACATTCGAGGTAACACCGGGCTGTCTAGTATACCGTGTACAGCACAGATTAAAAAAATATTGCAAAGATTTTCTGGACCTAGTCCTAGATTTTAGATCTACCTGAGATGTTTGCGTCACAGCTCCCGTAGTTTGATAGTTTGCTGCTTTCTTGTGCATGTGTGTTTGTGTGTGTGGGTGGGTGGGGGTGCGTGTATGGTGTGTATGTGTGTGTGTGTGTGTGTGTGTGTGTGTGTGTGTGTGTGCGCGCGCGCGCGTGCGCGTGTGAGCTTGAACGTATATGACTTGCCTGTTGTGTGGATCCAAGCATCGGCTTCTACAGAAATATGTATGAATGTGAAAAAGATTTTAAGAATATCAGAATGGAAATATTATACAAATAACATTCCCATAGAATCAGAATCTGGCCAGTAAAAGATTGTGAGAGCTTGAAAGAAAAGGGGGGAACACGGCGACGGTGCACAGGAAAAGAAAGAACCCAAGGCAACAAACAAAAAAACAAAAATTAATGGTTTACTGATGCTAATGATTAAGACGCTTGAATTGGATGAGAACGGGAAAAGTCGCAGGGAAACAGCGAGGTGGAAAACAGGAAGCGCGCACAGGGAGGAAAGATGAGGGGGGCGGCGGGTTTGAGCTGAGTGTAGCTGAAGATACCATACCCTACGGTATACTATCTTTGATGTAGCCCCGTCTATAATCATAGAGACATGAGAACAAGTCCTGTTAATGATCAAGTCAGGAAAAGAGATGGCGATGGCGTTATCAATGGTGATCAGTCTTACTTGTTGACACCTGAGAGTGAGTTGCAAAGACAGTTTGTTTCCACGATGTTTGGAAATCCATGTGCACATAGGAATAAGATACAGGCCTTATCACGGCAGCAAATGCTGGTGGTAGTGTGAAGACCTCTTCAGTGTCTTGTCGACTTGATGAATTCCAGAACGGTCTCTGGGGTCCACACACGTCGCTCACTTCCTATTTTACAAGCATGGAGGCGACTACGTCTTCCTAGTTTTCTGATTTACACTAGTGTAGTAGTCTAACACAAGCCAGTTCGATTGCCCATGGTCAAATTATGTGTCAGTCTAGTTTAAAACGTGCACGAAAGTGGAGAAATAGTTTTTAACCAAATATTTCAGCAGAAAATTATGGGAAAGCTATGTTAGTGTAAATAGTAAAGACAACTATAACATATTATGTGGGGTTCCCCTTGCTTTTGAAACGGTAAATCCTTTAACTAAAAGAGTGTTGCGCACTGGAGAAGGACGTTTTATTGGTACATAATGTTTTAAGACGAATTGCCCTTGGGACCACAATGCATTTTCCTGAATTCAGTTTGACTTTTTTTTTTGGGGGGGGGGCGTTGGGGTGGCTCTTTCCAGCACGGCTTCCCTTTCCTATCGTGCGGATCCATGGACTTGAACTAGTATATTCCTAGATCTGGCACTGTTATGGCCGCTATTCTTTGCTCTTGATAAAAACTTCACTGAACTGGTGCGCACAATGGGTAACGAATGCACGCCGAACTTTTCCCTCATTGTCCGCCATTTGCTTCCCAAAAGAGTCTCCTGTCGGTGCAAGCCATCTTGCATAGGACTGGATATTGGTTCATGTTTAAGTAAAATGAGAAGCAGCTAACCTAAAATGTGGCAGGAAAATTAGTTTCAGAAAAATGCTCACCTTAATTCAAGTGTCCTGTGAGAGCGAGCAGTGAAAACAACACCGCTGATAAGAGCTGATGGGTTTTGTTGATTTTTTAATAATATTTTTCTCAAGAACAAATTTGCAAGGTGCAATTTTTAGCCTTTTTCCGCGGGATTCTAAAAGCCGATATTATTTTTAAAATAAAAATTCACACTATGTTTCAATTCAAAGCTTGTTTTTTTTTCGAACCTTCTCGTTTTTGCTATTTAAAGAACAGAACACAACGGAAGTCAATTCGTGTTGTCGCCTTGTTTTTCGAGCTATGTCTGTTTACATACTCTGTTTTTTAAAAGAAGATTTATGACGTTTTTACTTTCAATGTTTTCAAAATATTTTCCCTAATCACCACAGCTACAATTTATGATACACGTCCAAAATTTTAGTAAAAATTCTTAATTTCTTTTACTTCCCAGGGAAAAGGCGGTGGGTGAGAAACAGTTTTCGACAATAAATAAAATTCGCTATCAACATATTGTTACATATACTTTGTCATAAGAATGCACATAAATTCCAGTCCTTTAGTCACAACAATATAGGCTGAATGTGTGTATGTGTGCAGCAATGACGAGAAGTTGAAGTTTCTAAATTGTAATGTTTTTTCAGAAGAAAATTAGCTGTATCTTGATTTCATGTTTTCGCCTTTTGATCTCTTTATTATTTGCTGCTTTAATGCTGCTTCTCTTCTGATGACGATAGCTATGAGGACCATGATACTGCTGCTTGTGTTAAGGGTGGCTGAAGGAGGGTGAAAGTGATTTTGTGTCATTACAAATCGGTAAGTTTGTTGAATTTGTACTGTTGTGTCTTGTATACTTTACCCGTCACTTCTGATCGTGCTTCATTTCTTTTGGTTTCGTTGATTATTTTGTCACACCAGGTACGTGTAGAAGGGGGGAGGGAGGTTCAACTAAATTGAGTATTCTCCATTTACCCTTAATGTTTTTCTTCGACTTCGATTGGGTGCATTACTTTCAGTTAAACTGCATGGTTTCTATTATTTGTATGTAAAGGACAGTAGTTCGATTTTTTAATTTTTTTTTTCGGGGGGGAATCCATCTATCCATCTATTTTTCTATCGATCTATCTATCTATCTATCGATCTATCTATCTATCTATCTATCTATCTATATATCTATCTACCTACCTACCTACCTACCTACCTACCTACCTACCTACCTACCTACCTACCTA